TAGATCCCATTACTAACAATCCCTTTCCCCCGAAGTTGTGGATGTTGGGAATGTACAAGTATTTAAGGATGCCGTCATTCTGTCTACCCTTAAAAAAAGGGAAAAAACGTGAATTTATAATAATAACACCTAGTGATTCCAATATTTTTACCTCGAGCTACTGCTTTAATTAAGTGAAAACTGATAGAAATTCGATTAATATCTATAACAACTCGTCGTAATTTGCATTATAATATATGTATTTAGTGTTGCCAGCTACATTTCAATATTTTATACTCCGCGTGGAAAATAAATAATAGTTTAAACATGTTTAGAGACAGTTTAAACGATCGTCGGTTTATTTTGTTCTGCATAATAATTATTTTATGTTTTTTTTTTGATGGGTGAAAATGGTATGGCAACCCCGCCTGCGCTAACGGGATACGTTAGCGGAGCACCAGTGAAGGGTGTAGATGAGAATGAAAACAGGCCAGTTAGCCCATCATGATGAATTCAACAGGAATTAACCATGATAGTTTCCAGGGAGAACCGCGAGGAGGTCGACCTGGTTGGATATATTGCTAGCAATGTCCATAATGCAGTCTCCATTACTAACAATCCCTTTCCCCCAGTTATTTTATGTTAAAACTCTGGTTTATTTTTAGGTATAACTAAGTTTAACCTGCGACTTCGTACAATTGACCGAAAAAATGTTAATTTTGCGGGATAAATAGTAGCCATTTCCTTTTCAATCTCAAATAATATCTGTATCTCAAATTTCAAGATTAATTTTGCCGTTAAGACGTTATGCACTAACAAATAAACTCTCTTTAATACTTATAATATAACTAAGGATTACAGACCATGTTGAAACCAGAGGGAGACTACAAAAGTCGATTGCTTGCGTACCTCTGTTCCATTCGTGTTTCTACCGTAAAGCAGTTGTGTTCGCATGGCTGTGTTTCGGTTTGAAGGGTGGGATATGGCGTGAATTTACTGGGTACAGAGGAATAACACCTGAGTCCTCAGGAATGGCAACGCATGGGGGGTATCATGGGCGAAACTGTATACTCTGTTATGTCCATGGTGCTGCTCATGTCTATAGGCGACGTTTACCACTTTCCATCAGGTGGACCGTCAGCTTGTTTGCCATTCTAAGTTGTATAAAAAAAATATCTATATTATATACAAATGATCAATTGTATCTTACGTTTTGTGTGTATATTTTATGCTGAAATATTTCTTCTCTAAAAACAAGGATTTTGCGTCACAAAAAAGCCGACTTCAATTATGGGAAGACCAGATTTATTTAGAAATACACATGTTTTAATTTACAAATTAAACTATTAAATAGATTTCCATAAAAATTCAATGGGAATAACCTAAAAGTGTTATCTTTCGGATAAAAAAATATTTTTCCGCATCGGTTTATAATGAATAAGGTATGAAGTAACAAGCATAAAAAAAAATCAAATTGAGAACTCCTTTTTTTAAGTCGGTTGAAAACTGCATCTGAAGGTAATATTATCAAGAGGAATGCTAAGGTACGTCATGAATGGTACCTCTGAGTCATAATCATTTCGAATGCAAATAAACACGCCCACAATATTGTTAATATAATAAATTACCTAATACTGCCATATACTGTGCTACCATATACGTTTCATTCTATTGTTATTTTATTCTATATTTAGTTTTATTATAAAAGCGAAATACAAGTGAATGAGATATCGTGGGATTTGAAAAAAAAATATTTGACCTATTTTTTTATTTATTAACCAATAAAACACTGTACAAAAGGTGAGTTAGGGGGGCGAAGGGGTTGTTAGTATTAGGGATTACCAATCCCATTGCTAGCAATAAACTCTGTCAGGTCGACCTCCTCGCGGTTCCCCCTGGAAACCATCTTAATTGGTTTATTGTTGAATTCGTCACGATGGGCTAACTGACCTGCTTTGCCCCACCGGTGTATACCGATAACGCGGGCGGGGTTACCATTCCATTATCATCCATTAAAAAAAAATGGGTTACATGCTAATCGAATTCTTTACTTTTAAACATTGGCAAGTGCAGAGATGTTTGGAGACTGTCAAATGTTATCTACATTCACACTAATTAATGCTGAACTTCCAGTGATGCGACGTTTCAAATAAGTATTTATTTTATTTATTTATTCATTAGTACAAATATGTGTACATGGCGGACTTAATGCTAAAAGCATTCTCTCCCAGTCGACCATAGGGAAGTGTCAGAATACTCGAATGTGATACTAGTAATTATTGATATATATATATATATATATATATATATATATATATATATATATATATATATATATATATATATATATACATACTACTCCATAGATTTTAATTTTTCTATTCAATTTAACCTACCCTCCAAAAATATACAAATTGGTAATCTGTAATTCGCTAATGTGTAGTGTAAATATATTTTTTTGAATTCTAGATATAAGTTGTTGTTTCCAGATGTAATATTAAAATAAAATAGAAATAACAATCTGAGGGCCTACTACTAAATTTCGGAGCCAAACGAAACAGAAATTTGATGTTAAAATTACATAATACATGCCGTTTGGAAATATTAGAAATGTTAAAATATCGTTCCTTTGGACTTTTATGATAGGATGTATGACGAACGAAATGTTTAAACTCCATTTATTGGTCCGATTTTGGTATAAACAAAAACACGAAATTGAGTCCGAAATTTCGGAACTTCAATTCATGGTAGACCCGCTGTTTGGTAGTTTAGTTTCAAAACAAAATAAGTGTTTTTGACTAATTAAGTAGATTTTTTAAAAGTGCTAAAGCTCTCAAAAAGACATTTCCCAAATTTCAAAAGCCCATTTCACTTTTCGCCGAAATTTTGCGAACACAATTTATATTCCTTCGGTAATGATACGGTAATTTCAAAAGTTTATAAATTAAAAATTTTACCAGACGCTTTCAAACTTTCTTTCCCTTCCAATTGGTTAAGAGCCTCTAAGTTTATCACTTAACAAGGTGTCTTGTTTCAACCATTGTTTAATTAAACGGTTATTTATCTATTCTTGTGACTATTGTCGGTGACCAACTGTCTGTGGTTCCGTTGAACGTCTACTAAACTCCGAAGGGCGTTGACTCTGCAAATAGAGCCCATCTCATGCTATCCGAGTCTATGTACTGATATTATTAAGACGAGAGATTTAAAAAGTCAAAATTTGATTTTAATAATTCTTTCATCCGTATAAATAACATTTAATTGTCGAGGGATGGGCAGCAGTTTTATTAAAACAACAGCAAAGCCTAATTGCGATTGCCAATCCGCATACCAATCGTGGCAACTACTGGAAAAACATCCTTATAGGGGAGGCCTATGTTCAGCATTGGACAGTTATTGGTAAGAGGGTATTGCCAGTAGTTGCCACGCTTGGCAGACGGGTTGGCAACCGAAGTTTGGGTTTAAAGAGGGATATTGCTGCCCATTCCTATACCAAAAGCCCCCTTAATCACCTCTTAAGACATCCACGGGAAAGGAAGTGGTGGCCTACCCTATGCCGGGACTTACATGGCTAATAATACACTATTTTTTTTTTATACAACTTAGAATGGCAAACAAGCTGACGGCCCACCTGATGGAAAGTGGTAACCGTCGCCTATAGACATGAGCAGTACCATGGACATAACAGAGTATACTGTTTCGCCCATAATACCTCCCATGCGTTGCCATTCCTGAGGACTCAGGTGTTGTTCCTCTGTACCCAGTAAATTCACGCCATATCGCACCCTTCAAACCGAAACACAGCCATGCGAACACAACTGCTTCACGATAGAAACACGAATCGGATAGAGGTACTCAAGCAATCGACTTTTGTACAAAGTCTCCCTCTGGTAAAAAAATAAAAAGCAAAAACGTGTCGAATACCTTCTTCATGTGGAAACGTCCACTCTCTCCCTGTCTTTAAAGAAAAGTGTTATTCACTTAAAAACCACGTTGTGGTCGATTGTGGTGGTGAAACAGTTACATAGTCTATTACTGTCTGCCAACACATTTCGAGTGTATTGAATGTTTTTCACACGCTCCAAGTGTACGCGCGTTTTGATGTTAGATTTGAAATGGATGGTAATTGTTAATTAACCTTTAATTAACTATTTATTGTTTGTTACGTGAATGTGGTTTCAAGCGCGCTGTATTTGTAAATTTTTATATTCCGTTGACAAGAAAGGCAGTAAGGCTAAAAAACAAATGAGAACTTAAAAAATCCTCAAAGGCCAAAAGGCCTCAAAAGTGGCCCATTTTTGAGGCTCGATGTTCTATCAATATTTGCTGTTTACAATTAGCTGACAGACCATTTCTTGTCAGCTAATTGTCAATATTCATATAATTGTCAATTGTCTATATATATATATATATAGATATATATATATATATATATATATATATATATACCACTGATGTGGCAAACCTGGCAAAACAAAGCATATGGCCCACCTGATGGTAAGCGGTTACCGTATCCTATGAAGCCTGTAATACCAGGTACTTACGTATTAAATGTATCTTGACATATTATAAGACAAAATAAATATAAAAGTTATAAAAGAATTTCTCCTAACTATTTATCACGCAAAATTAATAATCTAAGCTTAAAAAAATAAAAAATATTCATTGAAAATACTCCTTTTAGAAGTCGGTTAAAAAAGGCTAAACAAAATATGATTAAACATGTGTCACTATGTTCGTAGAGGATAATCTTCAAACCATCCAAACGATTTCAATTACTTTTGTGTATGTATATATGGTTGATTTTAGTTTGAAATATAGGTTAGTTTTGGCTCAACAAATCCATTTGAAGTCGGGACAAGTCGCAAAGTTAGTAATAACATTTACGTAAGTATAATAAAATTAATAACATAAAAACAAAGTCAGGCCTCAAGATGTGATGTACAACGGTATTTATATTTTCATGAAATTGACACATTTTTTATTTATTGCCAAATTTAGCAACAAAACTAGATTATTACATTAGTAGACAATATTTTAATTTTTTAATTCTTCTTCACACCTGACCCACATTACGTGTTTACATGCACTCGCGATAATTTTTTTTTATTAATTCGAATATTTCAAATATAGAACACGATTAGCACACAGACACTCGCGAATTAAAAAGTTACATAATCTATGATTACATTATTTCAAATTAAGAACACATTTTATTGTTTTATGCGGCCAGTTATAATTAGTCGAGTATCACATTATGAACATAGTACAGTAGTACGGTAGAGCACATAGAGGCTTGAGCGCACGAATTACACTGAACAATGCGTACATTGGGACACGGAGATTCGCTTTCGTAGCCTCAAGTCAGAACTGTGACGCAGCGCTGAGAAAAAACAGAGGTGGCCTTATTGTTTGAACAAAGTGTGTTAGTGCAAATATTGTAGCTACAGTTCATTATACTTCCATGGCTACTGTTTTGAGATATATATGGTAAAAAGACATATACCTACCCACGTAGCAGTACAAATATAAAAAAAAAAACACTTGGACGATTTATGAGTTTATTATGTGTTAGATACGTAATAATATGGTTCTGAAGCTGTTTTTTTTTTAATTTATATTGTATTAACCTTCTGCTATGTTATTCAAATATTATGAACTTATAAAAAGTCCAACAAAATTCAAAGAATAATTTCTGGTAGCATTCAGAAGTTTTTTAATTCATTTGTAGAGATTCAAATGAAAAAGTGTTTTGGGTGTCTATCTGTTGTGTGATAGGATTTAAACATTTGCAATATAAATCAGCTTATTACGTAATTTTACAGAGATCTGTCAAAAAAAAATCGAGAAAAATTATAGTTATAAATTTTGTTGAATTTATTTGATATTAAAAACTGGGCTGTTCATGTATAGGTATAAGCGATAGTTACCATTTACCATCAGGTGGACCGTAAGCTTGTTTGCCATTTTAAGTATCACTAGCGTTTCCGTCCGTCTTCGCTTGAATAGATAGAGTTTTTTAAAGTAATATATAGTCTATGTTACTCACTAATAATGCAGCTTTCTACAGCTGAAAGAATTTTTAAAATCGGTTTAGTAGTTTTTGAGTTTATCCATTTAAAACAATACAATCCAATCTTTCCTCTTTAGAATATTAGTATAGATTTTATACAACTTAGAATGGCAAACAAGCTGACGGCCCACCTGATGGAAAGTGGTAACCGTCGCCTATAGACATGAGCAGTACCATGGACATAACAGAGTATACTGTTTCGCCCATGATACCCCCCATGCGTTGCCATTCCTGAGGACTCAGATGTTATTCCTCTGTACCCAGTAAATTCACAAATAATTAGTATAGATGAAAAGAAAGAAAAAGATAATAATGCCAGTATCGAGTCTAAAAGTGAGTAGCTCTATATTTCGGTGGTGCGGTACCGTCCGTCTGTCACAGGCGGCTGGGCCATCTAATGTGCTGCGGTCGAGCTCGGCTGCCCACCATGCTTCGGGGACCAAGAAGCAGCCAGTGTGTTGAACCTGCCTGCTACGTGGTGAAGCTCCGCGTACTCACCTATTATTATCACATTTTGTTGCAAACCGACACAGGGTTTATGGTGTTTTATCATTATTTTGAAATTTTATTTATTTATTTATTTATTTACTATTTATTGCACCACTCAAAGAATAATACAAAGATATAGACACCAGAGGGAGACTTTGTACAAAAGTCGTTTGCTTGGGTACAGTGAAGCAGTTGTGTTTGTATAGCTGTGTTTCGGTTTGAAGGGTGGGATATGGCAATGAATTTATAGGGTACAGAGGAATAACACCCGAGTCCTTACGAATGGCAACGCATGAGGGGTATCATGTGGAAGGAACAGTATACTCTGTTATGTCCATGGTACTGTTCATGTACCATGTATGTGCATAAAAAAAATATTACACTTGCTTAATTACGGAGTACAAGAGGTGGTCTTATCGCTAAAGCAATCTCTTCCAGACAACCTTTGAGTAGAGAAGAAAGAAAAAAGTATGAAGAAATGTGTTTTCTCCTTGTTTATTTTTTCCATTCTTATATAATATATAGTTACATCAGGCAGATCAAGGAAGGAGTTGGTGTCGTGTCGTATCAAGAGGTGAAGAGACTCGCTGAAAATCGTAGTGAGTGGCAAGAGCTCCACCGACAAGAGCGCAGCTCTTAAATAGGATAGATAGATAGATATATATACATATATTGAGTTAGTCTGGACATTGATGACTGGCCATTGCGATATCGCTCATATTAGTCAGATATCTATGTTTATTACGAGCGGGTTCTTGTATTTAATATTATATATTGGATAATCGATATGTAATATATCTGTTATTGACGCAATATATGTTTAGATATTGTGACTATAATATATAGATATTAGGGGGAGAAGGGATTGTTAGCAATGGGGGTTACCAATCCCATTGCTAGCAATAAACTCTCCTCCTCGACCTCCTCGCGGTTGTTGTATTGTTGAATTCGTCACGATGGGCTAACTGACCTGCTTCGTCCTCACCTATCATGCCTCACTGGTGCCCCGCCAGTGTATACCGATAGCGCGGGTTGGTAACCCCACCCGCGCATATATATATTATATATATATATATATATATATATATATATATATATATAGTTATATAATACCCAATCGTTACAAAATTTTGTATGCAAGTAATATATGAATGAAGAGAGAAGGGCATAGGTTATTTTTTATCCTGGTCAGCGAACATATTCGGGTCACGCAGATAAAGCCACGAGTAGAACTAATAGATTACTAAATCTATGGAGAAAAATCAGTAAAAAGTAAATGGAATTAGTAAAGCAAGCGAAGTGATTGTTTCCGGAAGGGATCCTTGTATGGTCACAGTCGAGTTGGCTGCTCGCTCACGTTATGGTTGAGGCGACTGTGATTTGCTATCATTATATCACTTGCTTAGTTCATCGGTGGTAACTATTCATGTATATTACTTTTAAGTTCCAAAAATATACAAGATTTTGCTCCATTTAACCCTTCTTTGCGTAATAGTGGAAATTTCCATCATAACATTGAATGCCCAAAAATTATATAAAAGACCAAGTTCACTTTAACTTGATCGTGTCTGGATACCTTTTTAATGTGCATTGTAAAAAAAACATAGCTGTCAAATTTATTTTTTAACCATTTGTCCTTTAATTTTGAACATGAATTATATCACCTTGATTTATTTCACCAATAAAAAAATCATGCAAAGAATGGTTAAAGAATAACACAAAAATGTATATTACATTTATGAAGCACGAAAGTCTTATTGCTAAAGCAATCTCTTCCAGAAAACATTTGGGTAGAGGAGAAAAAAGACGGTAGCGATTGGAGCAAGAAGTAATAAAAAGACTAAAAAAAAACGCTCTTGTCAATAAAACATATGCAAATAACTATATACACACTTTACATACATCTCTGCATTGCTGCAGAGATGGGAGCAAGCGACTGCAACAGTTTTTACTAATGCATTTATTTACGAACCTATGGTTTTTACAACACAGGGTGCAAACGAGCATGCAGCTCACCTGATGGTAAGTGACTACCGTCGCCACTGATCACCCACAACACCAACGGCATCGCAGGTATACTGCCGGCCTTTTAAAAAGGAATATGCTCTTTTGTTGAGAGTTATTATGTCGTATCGGTTCGGAAATACTGCTGCTGGAAGTTGATTTCAAAGAGTGGTTGTGCGTGGAAGAAAGTGCCTCGAAAACGCACGGTGAAAGACCGCCGTGCGTTTTCTAAAAGATGTTTGTTTTATTTTAAATAAATTATTTAATTCTTCTTCAATGTAACTAATTGTAAATAAATAAATATATATTATATTATTATATTGTAATATTATTTCTTAGAATATATAGATAGAGCATCGAGCCTCAGAAACGGGTCAACATTTTGTCAGCTAATAATCAAGTTGCTAATTGTCAAATCAAACCCGCGCGATGCCGGGCAGATCGCTAGTTATAGAAATAAATTGCCAAAGAAAATCATAGTTGTTAAGGCTGTTATAGTTACCTCCCGTTACTATTGCCCATCAATGTTTTTCTACTAGGTTACAATAACTCACATGTTCCACATATCTCGACGGACCGAATACAATCAGATTATATTATAATTTCTTACTTATTATTCCTGTTGGTGTCCATGATTTCTCAGTTATTATGGACAGTCTATTTATCCGATTGCTGGAAAAAAGGTGGACTATGTTTTTACATGTATATGTGTAGGTTTAGAACTTTGGAATAAATTATGGTTTAATGATTTTAAACATAGAATGGTAAACAAACTAATTGATGAAATCTACTTGATGATAATTAAAGATTGTGACCTACAAAAAAAGACTTCAGTTATGAAAAAACCAGAGGGAGACTTTGTACAAAAGTCGATTGCTTGGGTACCTCTGGTCCATTCGTGTTTCAACCGTGAAGTAGTTGTGTTTGCATGGCTGTGTTTCGGTTTGAAAGGTGGGATATGGCGTGAATTTACTGGGTGAGAAATAACACCCGAGTCCTCAGGAATGGCAACGCATGGGGGGTATCATGGGCGAAACAGTATACTCTGTTATGTCCATGGTACTGCTCATGTCTGTAGACGACGGTTACCACTTTCCATCAGGTGGGCTGTCAGCTTGTTTGCCATTCTAAGTTGTATAAAAAAAAGCTAATTATTAATCGATTTAAAATCTACTGAAACGATTTTGATAAAATTTCTACGGGATCTGTAAGAATATTCTTTTAGGTAAACAAAAATTTATAACAAATCGGTTTATAACTAACGAAGTTCTGAGGTGTCAGATATAAAAAAAATACAAATGAATTTAAAAACTTCTTTTTTTTTGAAGTCGGTTGAAAAATAGTATGAATGAATGAAAAATGAAATGAATAATTTCATTTCTTTTTTGCAATGTCTATCTATTCTCATTTTCGTGTACAATATAGTATATCTTATATATGTGTAAGTATATTTGTTATTAATATAAATTTATTTGTTTATATATGTAAATTTAATTTTATTATTATCTCTTTATTACCTCTTATTCTTTGTTTTTCTTTCTTTTCTCAATGTCCTCTACCCAGAGGTTGTCTGGAAGAGACTGCTTAGCGACAAGGACGCCTTTTGTATCACTTTTCATCAAAATTAACTATATTTACTATTTTATAAATAATGCAATTAAGTAAAAATATAAATAAATAAATAAGAATAATGAAATGAAATAAAATGAAATATTTATTTGCTTTTAACAGATATTTAACATAATAA